CATATTACAATAATATTCATGCCCAGAATCAAATGTCTTGCAGGCTAAGTACCATACTCAGCACTTAGCTACGAAACTTATGAACTGAGATTGCATCCACCGATAAAGAACAGTCTAAATGAAACCAGCTACACTTCATAGATGCATATTCACGTGCAGGATCAGAGCTTGAAGCTTTCTGTTGCCTGCTGAAAGCATTATGTTTAATCTCCAAAACCTGTAAAATCATCCTTTTGGATATTCTCTTGTCTCAAGGCAATCTAGTCTCTCAGTACACACTCTAGAAGTTCACAAGACTGCAAGATCACAATGACACCAGGTCCCCAAGCTTGAAACATCCGATCCAAAGTATTTTGTACAAAACTGCATGTGAGCATCCCAAAGGCTGCCAATCTAGTTATCTGTCACAATCTCAGCACTGTCATAGCCTACTCCCAAATACAAGATGTCCCTGTTTTCCATGTAGCACACAAAATGTCTCAAAAATGTCTCATTTCCTAGGCCCACTAAAAGGGAGACAAGCCAAAAACTGTAAATCATATAGGTCCCAGAGGATCAGAGCAAGTGTTTAGATATATTTGCTTTAATCCTCACCCTTCAGTATCTCAGTTATTCTAGGCCTGTGCCACATTTCATCAGACACATGAAGGACTGAAGAATCTCTGAAGAATCAGGACATAAAAGAGATGTTACTTCTGCTCCTCAAGAAACAACTACACACACTTTGGGAGATGAAAGAAGCGTTCTGAATGAAAGCCATGTCTTTAGACATATATTTATGTTGACTGCTTTCCACTGTTTCTAAAAATTAGAGTCTCTGCACTGATCAACTTTAGCCCTCTGCCCGAAATACCTATAGCATCCATACAGAACAATTGTTCAGGCAAGCCCATTCAAGTGGGAATGCAAATTGGGTACCATGCATAACCAAAGCTTCACAGGCATAGGAAATAGGACAGACAGACATTAGCCCACAGAAATAAACACTGACCCTGTAAAACCAAAGAGGATTGGTTTGAATTTCAGCAGCTAAACTACACTTTCTTCACTATCTTCATAGCTCCTAGTTGTTTTCTGCCCACTTACAGAAAAAAATAGCTAAGAAACAGTAACTGGAACCAACAATTTAGATGACAGTTAAGTCAGCTCTCCAAAGCACTTATTTTTATATTTAAAAAGTAAGTGACACCAAGGTGACAAAGCTCCCTTAATAAGGCTGGTTCTGCAGTTTGTCTGGTATATTACATGCTTATGAAACTGCACTGCTTGCAGAATTGTTTGGGAAAAGTTTTGGTGATATTAGCAAGGCTAGGAGGAAAAAAAAAAGAAAAGAAAGAAAGAAAAAAAAAAGGAAGTGTGATTTGAAACTCTTAGGCCTGATGTAGCTAGACAGTCACTTTAGAGAACAGCTTTATACGTCCCCTCCGATGCGCAGCACTCTGCAGCATTTTATCTATGCAATAACATTTCGGCAGCACAATGTTTTATTTCTTAATGTGATTAAAACTTAACTAGTATCGATGATATATTTACTATAAAGGCTACTGTATATTCAGAATAAAAAGCAGTAATATAAAGCTCACCAATACCAAGAGTTTATTAATAGACTTCCCATATATTCCAAAATGAGGAACAAAGGTGCAAGAATATTGTCTTTGCCAACTCAATTGGGCAAGGATCTCTGCTAGATCCTTGACTAACGTAGCAGAAATATACTGCAATGAGAATTTATGTCTCTAAAAGCAATCTTAAAAAAGAATCTTTACAACACTGAATCTAATAATTTTTGCCATTTTTAATCAGAAAAAAAAGCACTGTTTTTTTTAATTCATAACACGGAGTCAAAATATCAGCCATGACTTAATGTCTGGTGATCATAAAAATGCAGTTAAACCCCTGGCATGAATTCACACTCCCCTAAGTTTCTCAGTCACTTATAACCAAGTGGCAGGGGAGATGTCAGAATGGACTGAATATATTCTTCTACTAATCAAAAAAAAAAGTGTTTTGTGCAGTTTTTATGTTAACAAGTTAGAAGGAAAAGGGGCTGTTTCTGCTCATTTTACTGTATCGATTTAGAATTTTCTTCCCGTGTTGCGCAGGATACTTGGTGACTACCCCCTTCTCCAGTTCCCTTTAGCAACGTCTCTTGTATTTATTCCTGCTAGGGAAAGTGTTTAGACACATACAACCAAAACAAAAAACAAAAGAAACTTTCTGCAAAGCAGGGGGGGAGAGAGGCAAGTGTTTTTGTGTGACAGATAACGAAATTCTCTAGAAGGGCCCATACATTTTAAGCGTCAAGTGTTCTATCTTTGCACCCAGGGATAAATACCATCTTCCATAGCTACCTCTGCGTTGGCCAAGTTCTCCGCTTCTTCTCTTTTTCAGACGCTATCAAGATGATAGCTACTGTCTGGGTCACAAAAGTCTTGTCTTTACCTACGGTTTTTAACATGTTTTTGCAGTAGCACAGCACACTAACCATGCACCAGATAAGAAAGTATACTTTTTGTAAAGCTCGGTACTTTGGGAAGGATATACTTTAGAGCAGCAGTAAGAAATACAACACAATTATAAAGTGGTCCAGGTAATGCTTAACCACGTGAAAAATAAAGAAAAGCACATCTTTAAGTTTATCTTAAGAGACTATCAGACTTCTCCACCATTTACTCTCATGGATAAACACACTATCTTCTTTGTTCCTCCTTTCCAATAACTTGTTCTAGTGCCTTCCTCTTTTGTAGAAAGTGCTTGAAAAAAAAAAAAGCAGCAATGAAGTAGTATTTGTACAGTCCTTACCAGTTTCACTGAAAGCTAAAGGGTCCTGAAGAGCAATAGCAGAAGTGACTAATTTTGATAGAGATACTGAAGGCAAAGGAGACCCCAATAGGAAAGCCAAACAGCTGCTGAAAAAACTAGTGACGATACCATATCTTCTGCTCCAGTTCCTTTTTCACGCATGTTTTATGCGTGAGTCAGTCTTCAATGAAAGCCTATTTCTGAAGGGCCCAATCTGCTTACTTCACATCCCACCTACAAGACAGTTGTTCTGCTCACAACTGAAGAATGGATTTTTCAAGGCCTTCTTGGTTAGGTAGTGTATTTTCAGCAGAAGAAATCCAATGCAGGTGAGTAAGCCCAGACATCGAGGTCACTGACCAAACTGCTCAACAAGAGATGCTGTGAATCACCTTTGTCCTTGCCATTTAATGTTAAGGTTACCATAGACTTTGCTAATTTGTAATAAAAACATTCTGAAGAGGAGGTGCCAGCAAAAAGAAAACCTACATTCTATAAATTAGATTAAGATGTGTGGTTTATGCAATTTCCCACAGCCATCTCAGGAACCTAACACACATCATCTTTCATTCTTCAAAACAGCATATAAGCACTAATCAAGAAGGCCCATAACCCCAAAGAAAAATGACAATGAGAGACATTTACAAAATATAACTAAGCATCAATTAGTAATCATTAATTACCCAGAGTGAACAAGACAGGAGCACATCAGCAGAATAATACATACAGCCTAAAAGAGCTGCTGAAAGAAATTATGACAACTGTAAGGAACGTTTAGGAAAAAAACAACAACAAAATATTTTTAAAGAAAATAAAAGGATTCATACACCGGAGTGAAGTAATCACAGCCAATACCTTCTCATTTCTAGCAAGCTTTAATCCCACGCTGGAAGACTCAAACCACTATGACTGTGAAGGAAGTTGCTTCTGCTCTTATCAACTCCCCTAGCCACATCTACTGTGATCACTATGTACATCATACTTGATCACTTGTTCAGCATACTCCATCACTATGGAGATACCTCTGTCCATTACAGTTTCAAAATAGCTTATTCCACATGAATTACCAGTCACCTTCACTATTAAGCTTTCCTGTGTTAGAACTGTTCATTCAGAGGTAAAACGCTTTGGTAAAACTGCCTTCCTCTAAAGTTACACTGGATTGAAAGACTTTTCATAAAAATGCTGTGCCTTCTTACTGTGTCAAGCCTTTGCCAAAAAAAAAAAACTTGATGCACAAAGTCTTGCGGAAAAATTATGAAAGCGTTACACTGTGGCTCTGGACAGCAGCAAGCAAATACACATTTCAGGCAAATAAGGCATCTTTAAAGCAGCATATTGTATACAAATTTTCCATTACTGTTCTGAAGACCTAAAAAGCAAGTCTGTCATATTTCCATCTATCATGTACCAGCCCTTGTATTAGCACATTCCAGAAACCCCTTACACGACATGACTAATTTATATTAAGCTTATTTGTTCTCTCCCCCCTCAGTGGGAATGGTTTGTTAGAGGTAAGACAGCGGGTACCAGCTAAGCTTCTTGAAGGAGCTTTTGCTGACAAGGAATGAATCCTACAAACACCTTTCTGTTAAGAAGTGGATGGCACTTCCAAGTAATTCCACTTAACTTTTACAGCTAAATAAGCACTTACAGATCTGAAGTACTTCTTTGCCCAATTCACATACAAGCAGTGACACCTATCCCTAGCTCATTAGTATAAATTCCACAAGACATATTAGGGATGCGTTAGTTTCGTCATTTTCTAACGCTTCCAGTTATGCTCCCATACTATAGACCTGTTACTTGCTGCTAAATCTCACTGAAGGCTTAAAAGCCTTTAACATTTGTCATGATCTAACAGAATTTAAAGCAAAAAAAAATATAAAGATCACTTTTCTGACCTCCTACATAATTCCAGTCATAACATTTTATTACATAATTACTGCACCGAGCCTACCAATTTGAGGGTAGAATGACAGCGTCAGTTTTAGAAATGCATCCTATCACAGCTGGAAGGGGCAGGAAGGAATCAAAAAGTTACCTCTATTCTGACTCTTACTTTCACACACCCCAAGCAAAAGGCAGATTTCAAATCCAACAAGTGTTTTCTGGAATGCATGCAGAAACAAATTCTTCAAGCTGATTAAGAAAACACCATTAGAATGGAAGGAGTCTGCGTCAAGTTTCAAACGCACCTCACGCTTCTGCGTAAACCCTTGCTCCACCAGTTAAATAACTGCAATTGGTACATAGGATGTTTTTCAACAGTTTCAAGAATTGGAAATTCAAATACTAGTTCTACTCTTCATACTGGATGGATTTTTCTTTACAGGTTCTGTTAGCCCTCATCAGTGAGATTCTTGATGCTTTCAAAAGAGCTGTATTGGAACTATAAAATGAGAAGAACAAATAAAACTCTAAGCAGGAATATTTATGGAACATGGAGTTTAAAACACATGTGTGTATATACATACATATAAACACATACATACATATATACACTATATATACATACTATATATACACATATATACATGTTTCATATGGGCATGCACATATACACACGCAACATAACATGCATATCCTAAACCGAGAACAGGTCTTACAGCTTAAGAATATATCCCATATCTGCATCAGTATTAATATTACCATTTTCATCATCTCATCTTCCAGGGGCTGGAAGGAGACTTATTATCACAAATACAGCAATGCTTTTCAAAAGCACAAGTACACACCAACTACCTGATAATTTACGACCGATTATAGCATTGGAAGTGTTGTTCAACATCAAAACGTCTCTTCTTTTTTCTATTGGCATAACTACCTAGAAATCAATTTACAGTAATTCACTATCATAATTAAAATGGGCTGCTGGATATGACACAAGTCATGGTAAACCTAGCATGGTTTGGTAATTCAAATTACCACTAACTTGGTACAGCTATCTCTTCACGGAAGGGACATTAATATTACAGCTGCATGTATTTAAGACCTTCTCCCTACTTCCCTCTCAGACATAAATAACATTTGTCTAATAACCAAAGCGCTGTTTCAAAAAGAAAAATTCAACTACTTTTTAAGCTTGACAAAGATGCTCATTAACAGGCCCGCGTTGTTTCTTTAAATACTGGTATCTTTTGACATATCTCAAAGGTTATACAATTATTTTGGCATCCACACTCTTCCCACAATTAGGTATTATGCAGTCTTTACAATAGAGCTATTTGTCTCCATTTTAAATGTTTCCCACAGCTAGAAATTTATCTACAGCATTAAAAAAAAGCATGCTGCACAGAAGGCCAAATATACGTTTTGCATGTATACTAATCTGATATTATACTGCACATCATGATGTATATCACCTGTCTCCAGGGCCTGCTGTAAACGAAATTATACTTGCTAAACTCTGTAATTACTATAAGGTACAGAGTTCTCATTTTATGATAATTCTTTAAAGCATACTCTCTAATCATCATCTTCTGTCCTCTGTGACAACAGTTCATGAGCCACCACACAGGATTTCTTACTCTTCGTATCTTCTTTGAACAAAAGGACAAGGCTTCTTATACTTATGAGGCTTAATAAACTTGCAAGCTCAACTGTCAGTCATTAGCATGTTAAAAACATTCTGATTTTTTCCTCCTATTCACCTGATAAAATAATCAGGGGCATCAAAGCCATCTAAGTTTAGTGTTAGTTTGCTATAAATATTTCTCTGTTGAACTAATCACAAAACGCTGAGCACTAGACGCCGTACTAGCAAAACACGAGCCCAGGACTGGAAGAGAAGGACGGAGCTGATGCATTGCATTAGCCACGTGAGGATGCAGTGCAGAATCTAACTCCCCAAGGCCATCCATGTGCTTCTCCTGCTGGAATCAGCAGCAACGCAAGAGAAAAGAGCCCACTGACAGCACAGAATGAGGCCTTCTGAAAAGAGCTCCTTGTAATTTAAGGCACAACAAGGATTTTTAAGGTACTCCACCAGGAGGGACTTTGCTGGTTTTAAATTGGAGCCTGATAAAATTAGGGATTACATAACATGATGTCCTAAAGGTTAGGAGTCTGGACCCAATGACCCAGGAGGTTCTTTCCATATCCGTGCACTTAAGAAGTGCCCGCTGTAAGAAATACTAACAAGCTACTTATGTTTATAAATACCTCAAATAATTAATACTACAGCCCAGCACGTTATCCCTCATTACACACAATAAAAGAAAATCAGATTACAGTCTCAGAAACTTGCTACACTCAGTACAAAAGATTAAAATAAACAAAACAAACAGTACTTGGCCGGAAAAGCATAGAAGATGAAAAACAATGTCCATTAAGGCAGGATTTAAGTTATCTTTTAAACCAAAATATCTCCCAGGCTTGTTGAATATTATCATTCAGACGTTTGAAACCCAAAGGGTGAAAGTGATTTGTGAATACAGGTGAGACAGATCAGACCGGACACTGCAGGAGCCACACTGCTTGGAGCTCACCGAGCGCTACAAGCCACCTCTGCTTCCCAAAGGGAAGGAGGATAATGTGCAATTTCGGGGTCTTTTGATTAATAAGAAGTGCCATTAAAAGTACAAAAAAAACGCACTTACAAACCTCCCTCTCTTGCTCTGGTTTCAGCTGCATACAAAAGGAGAGCAGCTGCAGCTCAGTGCCCTGCGAAGGATCCCTTGCAGCTTTGGTAAGGTGCAGCTAGAGAAGTTTCCTAGACACTATCCCCGTGGCAGCCGGCTGGTGACAGAAGATGCTCACAGCACAAGCTCACGCGTTTAAAAGACAAATCACACCAGGGCTAGCAGTGCGCTTAAACTCCCAGTTTCCCCCCAGTTCACCGCGGGGGGAAGGGAGGAGGAGGAGCAGCAGCCCGCTCCCTGGAGAGAAGGTAGACCAACCAAAACG